TCTTACACTTTAAGAACTACCTAACAGGACAGTTTGTTGCAGTGACATTTTAAATAGCAATTCACTAATTTATTTAAATTAATTTTCAGTTAATAGTTCAGAAAATGAACCATGAAATAATAATCTATGATTTGTCCTGGTATAGTAAGTCAATTTAATAGCAATGCATGTGAAATATGATCGCCATTTGGCGAGGTTATAATTGCATATCAAATCACTTAGCCAGAGCCAAATATTAAACTATGCCATGGGATATTTTGAATCTAAAGACAGGTTCACAACAACTTCAGCTTCTGCATTGTAATGTAAAAATAAGTTGTCACTCTAGTGATATCAGTTTTCTTTCACATGAAAAAATTCATTTGTGCCTGCAGCATTCTGCAGAAAACATGGTTTGAAATTAAACAGCATTGTAATAAAGTACCACCATCATTTATATGATCTATCTACACATTCAATAATAGTTTTTTTGCTATATGCTATACCACATTAAAATCAGCTGTATGTGCTATAAACCATACATTATTATTTAAAAAATCCAAAGTTTAGACATTGCTTCAAATTTTGTTATGGATAATTTCTCAAGGATCATTGTTTTGTACTTATTGAGAACAGTGTAACACTCTAAGTAAGCAACTGTTGTTTCTGTAATAGGATACAAGTACATCCTAGCTCTGCGCATTGCAGCACATTCCATAGCCTTACTGTTATTTTTGCTACACACTACTAGAACAACAACTCTTCCCAGCCAATGAGAAACTGGGGTGATATGCAAAATTGCTGTAGAGAATGATTACTAATTGTGATTGGAAAAGATTTTATTTTCTTTCTATCACCCATCCTCAAATCTATTTTCCATGGCAGGATGGGTGACTATTATAGTAACTGGATGACTATTCATTCTCAAGAACAAATGTATAGGTTTTAAAACAGAGAAATGGAATACTTGGTCCAACTTAGTGCTGGTATTTATGTTCTGCAAGAGCCTCCCAAAACTCGAGGTCATCAAAATCTATCAACATGTTTTTCTAATTCTTTTTGCATTATGTGCTCACCTAGCTTCTCCTTAAAGCCGTTTATTCTTTTCACACACCCAGCCATGTGTATCAAGTTCCATGTTCTAAATATTCTCTGGTCAAAGACACCTCTCTTTAATTTTTTATTGGATTTATAAATGTATTTATTATCTCCCCGCAAGTGCAAACATCTCAACTTCTGATCAAACTCCTTAACAATTATAAAGACGTCTAAAAGGTCAGCACTCAGACTTCTCTTTTCTAAAGAATGGATCCACTGTCTATTCAGTCATCCCTTATAGTTGCAATCTTTCAGCATTGATATCACTCTTGCAACTCCTTTTGTATATTCTCCAGTGACTATATATCATTTTTGAAATGTGGTGAACAATTGTTCACAACAATCTTTGCCTCCCAGTTTGTTTCCCACTTTCTTTGCATGTTTGGTTTTTCTCCTAATTTTGTTTGGATTTTGCTTTTGGAGTGTAGTTGTTCCTCATTCTGTAATTCATACCACTTTTTGGGGTATCTTTTGATTATTTACTTGTCCCTTTGACCTTGAGCCATGAAACGTTTTATCATTTAATTTTTCCTGTCTTCTACCAGATCATACACCTTCCTTTTTGTTCTTATTTCCACCCTCCTAATTTTTGTTTCTTGAAATCATTTCTAACTTTTCCCAGTTCTGATGGAAGTTCATTAACATGTTGGGATCAGTTTTGTGGTCCTAATTCAGGACATTACACAGTCAGGCAGATTTTTTAAAAAGTGGCCAGAGCTTTGATCTGGAAGTTCCTCTCCCATTTCTGTCCCTGTTTACTTTTAGCAGTGCAGGCAAGTGCATAGGATGGGCTCTAATAATGTACTGTTTTGAAGTTATTGGTGCCATAATAGAAGTAGGTATTTCAAACTTCCTTTAATTTCCAGTGAAGTGGCTGCATTTTGGGAATCTTTCTAAATCATACCTTTCAAGTGGAGCTGTTAACCATGGATTGGAATTGAAAACAATCTGAATGGTGAGTAAAAATTATGTTGCCCCTTTCCAGTTCATCATGAAATGTTATAGCCTGACTTATATTTATGTTTGATAAACTGAGTGAACGACATACTGTGATTGAGAAAAGTAAGTGGCTATAAATTCATAGAGTTATGTAGCACAGAAAGAGGCAATTTGACCCAAAATGTTTGCGTTGTTCATCAAGCGCCATCTTCCTTTTTACAGCACTTGGTCTGTAACCTTGTATGCTATGATACTTCATGTGTTTATCTGAATACTTCTTAAATGTTGTGAAGGTTCCTTCCTTGACCACCTTTTCAGGCAGTGAGTTCCAGAACCCTCGACCATCTGAATGAAAACAATATTTCTTAAATCGCCTCATGCCTTCCCCACGACCTCAAATCTAATCATCCTGGTTTCTTCCTATCTACCCCATCCATGCCCCTCATGATTTTGCAGATTTTAATCACATCCCTTCTCAGCACTTTTTTTTTCTCTAATAGAAACAACTCCAGCCTATCTAGTCTGTCATCATAACTGAAACACTCCAACTTGAGCAATGTCCTGGTGAATCTTCTCTGCATTCTCTCTAGTGCAATCATATCCATTCTATAGTACAGCGACCAGAACTGCACACAGAATTCAGTGGTGACCTAACTAATGTCATATACAGTTCAATCACAACCTCCCTGCTCTTGTATTCAATGCTTCGAATAAAAGGCATGTATCCTGTATGCCTTTCTAACCCAATTAATAATAATTGGATCATTATGTTGGCAAGTGGCATAATTTCGAGTGAAAGAATATCACTTTAAAAGTAAAAATGTCTTCAGATCTAGGAGAATAGACTATCCACTAGATAAAGTCCTTTTCTGCACTGTAATATTGTTTACTGAGTTTGTACTGTTGAATTTGCATAATTTATTGGAAATATAGCCCAGTGACAGATCATTGCTAACTGTTTAAACTTTTCTCATTACATTCATTCAGCTTTTAAATATCTAAACCATATATTTGTCTGTTGCAAAACAACTAAGTCTGAACTTTTTATTAATTATTTAAGAAATATCTCTGCCATCTGTCTGACTGTCTTCAAACGCACTAATGAAATCAGCACTGTACGCTTTGCTTACGTAACTGTCCGCAGAGTGTGAGATTGTTTACATTGATAGATTATGAGTTTCAACAGGATAATGGGTTACTTTAAGTGCCTATCAAGAGATGTTGTTTATTTTGACAGATTTATGAGTTTTTCAAAGATTCCAAATGTTTTCATCGGGACTGTGCATTCTATTTCTAGAACTGGATGAGTGAGTAAACAAGGGTCAGTGGGGTGAGGGACGCTGAAGTGTGGGTGATGAATGGGAGGAATGAGGGTGTGAAGAGAGTAAGAGTGAAGCGGGTAAACAATCAAGAGTGAGAGTGTTACAACGATCTGCAAAACTAGGTTGATGTCTCAGTGAATGCAATTGGAGTGTTAATCTGGCCAGATTGGCATCTGCCTGCCTCCATTTCTGCCTCTTTATTCCAGATTAGGCACCAATCAAACTGGCAGGCAAAGCCACTGAAAATATATGCCTCCAGGATGAGAATGTGGCCCTTTAACTCTATATGTATTTACATATGTTCACTGACCTGATCAGCAACTTCAAAATTTTTATTTGCGGTTCTATTTAGTTCAAACAGTCGACAGTTTGTTAACATTTCATTTACACTAATTTCAGTTTCTGATGTTTCTTGTTTACAGGGAGATGTGTTAGTGCACTTTACAAAACAGTAGTACAAACAAAAGGTCACCAAACACAAGGGAGAAATGAAGAAGAACTTGAGAGAAAGTCAAAGGTAAAGGTCTCAGGAAACTTTGAAAGCAGGAAGAATAGTGACAAGCTGAAAATCTTTAGAAATGAAGTTTAGAAAGCAAGGTGATCAAGATTTAAGGCAGGGAAATTATGAGTGGAGGGGAAGGATTTACTCCATTCACTCAGTAAAATCATGAGTTTTCCTTCACTACCACCTCCCAATTTTTTTTTAATATTGGACATCATGCTGGTTTGTTTCCAAATTATCAATATATCCCCAGTATTCAACACTGCCATGGCTGTCAGTTTCTCGCAAATCTTATTTTCAATCCTTTCCTCAGGATGAACATCACTGCCCTTTGTGGACATCAGTTTCGAGCGCTATCATTTTGTCCTCTATTTGTAGAGCTGCGTTCATTCCAAATGGATCATAATTGATTATGGACAGTAAGCTGCTTATCTTTTGTCTGGTTGTATAGAGACAAAATTAGCATCGTGTATATTAGTAATGTTGTCACGCATGTTCTATTCTGATCTATTACCCGCACATGAGCTTTCAAATAAGAGTTACTGGATCATGATTACAATTTCATTTTTTTACGGGGGTGTGTTGTAAGGCGAGTGTGAAGAGAATAGACGATAGCATGACTTTCTCCAATCACCCTTTGCTCACTGCATGCAGTATTTTATCCAACAGTGGACTAACAATATTTATTATATGAATTATATATTTAATAGAAACTGCTTTGTGGATTTTAACCAAGATGTTAAAATATTTCGAGGAAGAAGACTTATGTTATATATAATTGGTACAAATTACACATCATCGCTTTTGGGTTAATCATAATTTTAACCACAGCATTCAATAAAATAATCCATAATCCTGTAATGATTTAAGCATTAAAAGTCACCCATTCAAAGCAAATTTATCTTCTTTCCATGAAAATAGTGCGAATTATCAAATTAAAATGCCGTTGCACATAGCCAGCAATTTACGGAGCTGACCTTGAGGTTTACAAACATTCCCCTTTCCAAGCAAACTGTTAATACCTGGGATCAATTACATGATGACCAACGCCGGAGGGGGCGGGGGCATGTGTCACGTATTGATTGGTCGGTCGCCACCCACGATGCCCCGACGGACAGTTGAATCTGTGTTGTGAATGGATGGTTGGGGTGTCAATTAGAAGGCTGTTTCCTGCTGTCACGCACCGCGCCGGAATCCTCAGCCCGAGCCCGAGCTCGAGCTCGAGCTGGAGCTGCGGACGTTGAGGCGGTAGAGCCGAGCGCGAGCTTGATCCCAGGGGTCCGCTGTCATGTGTCTGGAACCGGCGACATGGCGAGTCAGCTGCGACGGCAGCACCAGGAGCGGAAACTGTTAATGGTCGGCGTGAGGGCTGACTGGGCGGTGAATGGGCTCGGGGAGTGCAGCCCGGCTCCGGCGCCTTGTTTACCTTAGTGTGGCCGCCTGGCAGACTCTCAGGGCCGGCTCCCGGAGAATCCACCTCCCCGCTCCCTGCTTTCTCGGAACCCCCACCCCGGGTTTATTATGTTCTTCATAAAGATGGCGGAGGAACCACAGGCTGCAAACTAATGACTGTCAGAAACATCGCTTCAATTTGTAATATGGTGAGTAAAGGGCCGGGGGATTTTATTTCGTGCCTTGTCGACAGACGCGTGCATGTAGTTGCGAGTGAGGTTTACGGTGCTGATGGCCATCTCAACCTGGCAGAGTTCACCTTTTACAGATCCCACTTGAGAGTCCCAAAGCTGAATTGAAGTTTTGTTCCACCGTGCTTTCTTTTCGTAAAATGCGTTTGTGAGTTTAAAAATGGATATCTTGAATAGCTCAAATCCAACACTACTTCTGTGCCATCATTATGGACGTTAACGTAAAATAAAGTATTCAAGAGGAAACTTCCTTTTAATGTATACAAGTAGAAATTCTTCACACATGCAGAAAGTGCACTGCTTTGGAAGTACAGAATTCTAGTATATTCATAATGGTGCTTTTTGTTGAGGAGTTAACATTTGGAAATTTGTTGAATGACGTATTTACCCGTTGGTTTGTGTATATCGCAAAAACAAGAAGGAAGAAATATTGGTCATTTTAAGCAACTATATTCAGGTTTTGTAGGTGAAAGAACTGTAGAAATAGATTTGTGAAATTCAAAGTAGATTGTATTAACTTAAGTAGCTTTTCATTTAAGTAAAACTTCTATTGAAATTATTTTATAGAAACCTTGTAGGACACAGGTTAAGCCAGCCCTGGATTATGTATAAGAACTGGCGCAGGATTTTGAGTAGTGTTCTAAAGGCAAGTAGCCTGCACACACATCTAAAAAAGCCAGCATCCATATTCAGTGGGTAATAGGGAAGGCAAATGGAATGCTGGTTTTTACTTCTTGCTAAAACAATACAAGACGCTACTGAAAGCAACAAGTGCTGTCTGACTGATCTCCAGCATTCATGGAGAGAGAGCAAGCTAACGTTTTGAGTTTAGATAACTCTTCATCAGAGCTGAAGCATCTAGACTTGAAACGTTAGCTTGCTGTCCATGGATGCTGTCTGACTAACTGTGATCTCCAGCATTTGTTGTTTTCAGTACAGACTCCAGCATCTGTAGTAATTTTGCTCTGAGTCAGACTACAGCTTGATCACTGTGAATGGTTGTTGGCCCCTTTTATTTAAGGAAAGATACTGGCATTGGAGGCAGTCCAGAGAAGATTCACTTAGCTGATCCTGGGTATGGAGGGATAGTCTTATGAGAGGTTGAGTAGATTGGGGTCTACTCTTTGGGGAAGTTGACAGAGTAGATGTGGAAAGCTTCTTTCTCCTTGAGAGTGTGTCTGGGACCAGAGAGCTGAATCTCAAAATCAGGGGCTGCATATTTAAGACAGACGAGGAGGAATTTCTTCAGAGAACAGTGAATAAGAGAAATTCTTTACTACAGAGAGCTATTGCAGCTAGGTTGCTGAGTATTTTCAAAGCTGAGCTGTACAAATTTTTAATCAGTAAGAGAATCAGGATTATTGGAAAATGCAGGTAGTTAAGGATAATATCATTGACGGAGCAGTTTTGATGGGCTAAATGGCCTTATGGTCTTAAGCAATTAGATGCTGCATTGTGGAACTTTAAACTCTTCCTAAAGATATGAATTAAAAATAACTGTGCCTGTATTATTATGTTGTGATCAATTTGACTTGTATTAATAATGCATCCTCTTGGATGCAGCAAGGGCACTTATTCATGCTATATCATTGGGCTTCTTCCAATTTAGAAGAAAATGATGGGATGAATAGCCATTTTCATCTGTTGTTACCTTGAGTGGGAAGGCTAAGTTCTCTCTGCTTCAAAGTAGCAGTGTAGAAATATAGATACTTTCTTCTGTTAGCACAGACTAAAGAAACTGCTGAGTAGTGGTTACAGCCTCATCTACATTATTTAGATATTAAACTTTATTGCAAAGAATTAAATTAGCAACACTTTCATTCTATACTTGCAGTGTTAACATCTGCTATGTCTGACTTTCTAGTTCTTTGGCAGGCATGGGGAATACAGCACAATATTGTGTAGACAAGCTATGTTTCTGATGTTGATCCCTGCTTCAAAACACTTGTAAATATCTTGAATGGATATGAGGTGTTGTTTTCTCTGTGACTTTTCAAAAAAAAATCACTCAGTACTTTTTTTGAGTAGTATTAAAAACATTTTGCCTTCTAAAAACGAACTTCATTTGTAGATCTTTTCAGGATACTTGGCATGTCTTAGCAAGGAAAACCTCTGATCCCCTCACTCCCAGCGATGAAAGAATAAACTTGTTTTAAAACAAAAGATTAATTGACATTCATTTCACTTTCAGTGAAATGTTTATAGTTTTGAAAATGTTAATATTCTCTATCTGCTAGTATGAACAGTCATGAAGCAACTACATTCTTGGCTGGAATAAATGTGAGTGGTAAATTTGAGGTCACAAATTTAGATAATATTCAGTTATGTGTTGTAAGCTAGTTCCGTTAACCTTCTGAAACAACAGATCAAAACTCATAAAGTAAATTTGAAGATTACTAACAGAAATGTGATCACCATTTTGAATGACTTTCTTGACAGAGTAATTGAGGCAAATCCTTGTTATTTAAACAACAATAGGCTATTTCGTTGTGGTGATATGTGATCTTTCTAGATGAATTAATGGAGATGAGCCTGAACTGCATTCTTTATTTGTAACCCATAAACATCTATTGCACACCCAATAGCTGTTCACTTTAGTCAGTTATCTTTTAGTGATGGATTTAGATACAGTAACTAAAAGCCCAAAGGAGACAAATGGTTTATGAATCTCATGGAATGTCAGTTTTTGTATAATTATCTTCACCTTGGTTTTTTTAGAGATTTTGAAGATTTTTTTTTTGAAAATGGCTGTTTAAGTTATTTTAAGATAAACATACATTGGGATAAGTAAGCCTGTGTTTTATCTGAAGTATAGGATTATTTATTGCTTTTTATGTGCAATTTGAGACAGGTCATCATTCAGCTATGGAATGAAGTTTGGAGGAATGTTGTATGTTTGTTGTCCCAGGACTACAAGCAATAAAAGTTATTGTTATGAACAGCGCAATAAATTGAGAGCAATAATGTAGACTTATTGGCAAGTCTCATTAAAATGCTAAATGTTGAAGTTTTGGTGCATTCAATATATTCTGTGATTTGTTGAAGGTGGAAAGATAACTTTAAAATTTCAGTTTTGCTGCACAGGACATGGTATTTGGTTGTTGTTTTCTGTACCCCTGATGCCAATGAAATTTGTGATCCCCCTCAATGCAGTAATATGTATGGTCAACCAAATATGTCACCTTTTCTGATTGGACTGTTGATTAGCGGAGGGTGGTGGCAGAATGGCCATGTCACCCAATGCTCATGTTCAACGGATATGGGTTTGAATCCCATCATCACAACTGGTGGAAATTGAGCTCAATCAATACTTAAGAATTTAGAAAATAAAGCTGGACTGACAGTGACCATGTAGCCATTGTCGCTTGTCACAAAAACCCATCTGCCACAGGAATGTCTTTCAGGAAGGAAGTCTACCACCCTGATCTAGTTTGCTGTGGTTCTGGAATCACATGTACAGCAATGTGATTGACTCTGAACTCTTAACGATATCTTGAACAATTGGGGATAGTGATAAATGGTGTCCTTGTTGCTGATTTTTCTTTTTTTCTTAAAAAAAAACAAATAATTTAGGCCTGTAAGTACAAAGTGTGCACAAACTTCAATTAAAAACACACTTAATGGCTCAATCGAGTTGTGATTGAGAAATTCTGAGCTTTTAAGTTTTGGGGAGCTTTCTCAGCTTTTCCTCTGGTGAGCAGAACACTTGTGACTGAACTTCAGTTTACTGCTCCAGAATGGCATGAAATAAATTAATCATCTTCTAATATTATAACGCTAATATTATTTAGAGACAACTACTCCTATACTTGTATGCTGAGTTCTCTTTTTCTTTGCAGTGTAAAAAAGAAAATTACTGTTTAATAATTAAATATTACTGCCATCTCTTCAAGTTTAACAATCTCGCAAACACTTGTACTCCTCAAACTCGCATTATCTGCTACAATCAGCTGCCACTGAGCAATCTTTTCATTTGTCCCTCCTTTCTCATTGCCCTTCCATCTGAAATGTGTCATTTCATATTTACTGTAATGGAAGCTGCTTTTTATTTTGATATGCTTGCAAATTTCTGCAATTTGTAACCTGTGCTATTTTATCTATCGGGGTTCTGGTTATAATTCATCGTAAGAATTGAAGTTTAGAATGTCTTGCAAGCTGGCATTGCAAGGTCTTTAATTGCTAGGACCAGTCTGTCGGGGTTTTCAGGAAAGCCTGAACAAAACAGTTCCTTACTGTATTGACAATTACTACAGATCGTGAATACAAGCCTTTGAGCGAGCCACAAAATGGGCAGAAATCTCCCACAAAAGAGGCTTAAATACTTAATTTCGGTAAATATGTGGCTTTACTCAATTAAGAACAGTGAGGTATATTTCAGAAAGGTAGCTGAGTGTTCTTCTTTGTTAAATTCTAGTGCATTCCAGTCCTCCCACCAGCAGACCAAGGGTCTCCATTTCATTCGGTTATTGTTTCTTTTTTCAACAGCACCTGCTTTCAGATTTGAGATTAGTGTTTGAACACTTTCCAAAAGAGTTGCAAAAGGATTTGACTAATTTTGAACACCCCAGCAAGAAAAATTCTGTATGTGTGAGAGTTAGAGTTAGATCAGGGCAAATCCATTTCTACTTTATCCTTGCCACTTTAAGGATGTATGAATTAAACAGACTAGACAAATTGAAGCATTTATCACAGGTTCACTTAAGTGTTTGTTTAAATGCAACAAATTGATTTAAATACTGTACAGAGATCAGACACTCTGTACTGTGATCATGGAAAAAGGTGCAAAGGTTATGCCTATTCAAGTTAGGTGATAAGGGATTGGAATGGCTCTTGAGTACAAATGACAGTATGGGCTTGAAGGTATGAATGGTGAGATTCTGTGTGGATCTTTTGTACATAAAATCACTTCTTTGCTATGGGTGTTGAAACATAGTTCTCTTTTGGAATGAGAGGAAAGG